TACCTCACTGTGCCCCCCCCCTCGCTTCTCCCTTACCAACGGAGCATACTTTTGATCATAAACAGGTGAGCTCCTCCCCCCGAAAAAAAATGTTTTAGAAATTTATTTGAAAGATCTATTTTTTCATTTCTGAACCGTTTTGAATCAAAACATATTGTTAAGAGTTTTTTGGGGGCTTGACATTTTTCGTCAAGATGTTAAAACTTGTGACTCGTAAACTTAGAAATAGAAATGGAACAGTGCGTCTATTTAAAGATTATTGGGGTGAAAGGTTGAGCTTAAACACTTTTCAAATAGTTGGGCAAAAACAGGCGCTAGCAGACAACCAAACAATTTAAAAGTATTTATATTGGGTTCAAATATTGTTTTTTATAACCCTTGGCTTTTAATTTTTACGTAAACCATCTTAAATGAACAAAACGTGTTTTGAAGATTAAAGTTTCTCTGTCATAAAGGGACTTTGTATTTATTTTTTTTAAGCGTTGCATGCAGCATGACCATCGGATTAATGATGAAGAAGACAATATCATTTTTGTCCTAGAAAATATGTTCATTTTTATAATTTTGTTTCCTGTCACTGCTGGATAAATAGGCGCGCAAGTCACTTAACCGCAATTAAAAATGATAAATTTTCAGATAGAAAAACCAAGGGACACTCCTTAAAGTTTTCAAAGCAAATTTTTGAATTGCCCCCCTCCGCTTTTTACCATTTTTTAGCTCTCCCCCTTTCTTCCATCTCGCCTTTCCTCCCCTCATCCTTCCCACATCTTGGACTCTTGATCCTCTTTACATTTTTTGGAATCTTGCACTACTCCTCCTCTTCTCATTTCTTAAATTCCTCTCTATATATTCTATTCTCTATGCCTGTAGCTAGACCCCACTAACTGGTTATGTCTAGAAGCATCTATTTAAAATTCACATGGCTAGTTAATTTGCAGGTACACGACCTAGATTAATCAGATAATCAGATAATCTAGAATATAACAGCAGATTAATCAGATAATAATCTATATAGCGGACAGGGGGTGTCAAAGAAAACTCTTTTCAAAACTGTTGTAAACTCTGCAGGTTGTTTGAGGTTTTAGGGATTCAAAAGAATATTGTAGATTATATACAGTGTACACTGTATAGTGTATAGTGTACATTGAAAACCTATCATACTTGTACAATGTACGTACAGGTACATACGTACGTTGTACACTCTATAAAATGTACTCTACACTGTTAAAAAAAACTTTAAACAGTGTTCGAAATAAAATGGAAATAACAAATAACCGAAAACAGTTAAAATTACAAACATTTTGGTAACATTTAAGATAAGAATGTTGGTGATATTTCACAAAATTTTAGCTAAATATTACTCAGTGTTAAAAGAAATTGTCGAGAAAACTAACTTATTATTATATAAAAAAGATTCTCATATTCTAACATTTCAATAATCCATTTTTAACATTGTACAATGAACATCCTGTACATTGTACATTACACTATAACACCCTTCGCAATACATTGTACATTGTATACGTCCTTTGCAGTGCACTGCAAAGTGCACACATCCTGTGCAGTGCAGTGTACTGTACACCATTTGTAGTGCTCTTTACCGTGTACTATGTACACTCTTAATATATTAATTAGACTTGATGAGACATTGACTGGAATTGATGGGGTGTAAATGTAGATATAATATTCTCTAATTTATAGAACTGTACAGTGTACATGTATGTATACACATTATCTTAGCGGATTTTTGATATAAAAGGGGAGGGGGTTGACAATTGCACCTTGTTTTAATGATTCTTTGATAGATAAGAGCTGGTTAAAAACTGGTCAAAAACAAAGTTTAGATACAGGGTGTCCCACGAAACATGACAGTTGGAGAATAGTTTAGAATAGCTTTTTCCATAATTTGTTAAGTTGTTTGATACCAAAGATCAATAAAAACATTATATGGGAGTCATATCATATTAAAATTGATTTCAAAGTAAAAGATAATGAAGCAAAAGATTTTTTTTACTAAAAATAACGATTTATTAAATGTCATGTTTCGTGGGACACCCTGTAGCAGAAACAAAAACTCTGTAACTTCTGCATTAAACCTTTTTTATTGTTATTGATGGTTTGCTTCACACAACACCAAGTTTGTCCGGCTTACACAAAAATAAACTCTTTTAAATCTAAAAATGAACCATGATTAATTTGACATTTTGACCTTAACCCTATCCCTGCTGGGGTACTTGAAAACCAGGATACGCTGGGGGGGGGGGTCAATTTGACCCCCCCTCTAAATCCCATGTTTTATGTCCAAATATGACAAATGATACATCATTAGAAAGCTCTTGTGCTCTACTTTTAGAATCTGCAAAAAAAATTGCAAATTTGCAAAAATTGAATTTTTTATCGCAAAATCCAGTTTTATAGTAAAAATGTTTGCAAAAAAAATTTTTCCAAAAAATGAAAAATTATACATTTTTTAAAAGCCCTTGACCATGCCATTTCAAATATGCAAAAATATTTGCAAAATTTTAAATAACCTGATTTTTAATCAAGAAAAACTAAAAATGTGCAAATTTCCTTTGACAGGTTGTTTGCAAAAAATTTGCAATTTTTTTTTTCGCAAAACTTGTGCAATCCGTTTCCTTATGTCATAGGCTTTCCAAAAAGCTAAATTTTATCAAAATCTGACAAGTGAAAGTGGGTCAAAACAAAGATTTAGTTTGTTACAGGCAAAAGCAGTCATTCAGGCAGTGTGCCTGAGGACTCAGGCAGTTATTATTAAAGCCCGGTTTTAGGCCTAAAGGGAGGGATTTGGGTATGTAAGAAAAGTCAGAAAATTTCAACAGCCTCAGACCAATACTTTTTGAGTTATGTAAAAAAAACTACAGGGGGGGTCAAATTGACCCCCCCCCCCCAGCAGGAATAGGGTTAAGCATATTTTTCTTTTCCATGTAATAAATGTGATAAATATACAGGGTTCCCCCAAAGGATGAATCTGTAAAGACGACCTAAAACTCTTAAAATATGACGATTACAAGATTAAATTAAGCATCCTGCCTTGAATATAACCGCGTATCTGGTGATTTGGCAAATAGAGAAAAAAAGTTTACAGTTGCAGGAAATCATGGAATGCAAGGAAACAGATTGTATACATTCCGTACAGTCGTCTCTGAAGTCTCATCCATTGTGGGTAACTCTATCAAATCCGCCAATATCTGATTTGGAAACATCCTCTCTTACGTTTCCATTTAACAAGTTTAATTGAAACCAGTTTGCAAATTCCTTTCGAATTATTTCAACCCGACATGATAATTATTTTTGAATTCCACTGGATTAAAAATGTTATTGTTCTAGACCCTCGCAGAAAATGAGGGAGGGGCGGCAAGATCACTGGAAGGAGAAGGGTTGAGAGAATCTCCGAGCCACTACAATTTCTCTTCCCGACACACCTCACCAACATCGTTTTCTACACAGGTACAAGGAGTCTTATTAAATAAGAAATTTAGACAGAACTAAAAAATATATTTTGATCTTCAATTGCATTTTCAATGACAAAGTAGGGATCCATACTGTTTCTATTTTCCGGAAACGTCTGATTCAATCAGGGTTCAGTCATGTGTTTAGTGTCTATTCTGAACCAATAGAAACTACAACCGCGGTAACATCTTTCTTTTTTATAAATCTCATCATCCAATTAGAGATGAATCCTTTAATTGGCGCTGAACCGTACACGGAAATATGAACTTCTATTGAAACCACAGTGCAGAGATACGCATGACAACAAAGCTTTGACCATACCTTCTTTGTATGCTACACTGTAAGAAAAATAAATGATTTCCAGACAATTCTGGTGTTAAGTAATAAAATAAAACCCGAAACAGAATTTTCACAGATCTCTGGTAATTTTATAAAGCAAAAAGTAAGAGCACATGATTCTACCGTCATACCAGAAAACTCTGGAATTTGATGTTGACTTTTAAACTCAAGTTAGGACTTTAAATAGCCCAATGAGAATGGGACACAGCAATTGTGCAGAGTAAACAGACCAATTTTACGTAAAAAGTGACTTAAAAACTTATTTGCTTTGATACAACATGATAACATCAAATGCACTTCAGTATTGCTTTGATGTCGTCTTCCTATTCTACAGTTTTCTGGTTATCACTGTAGGACCAATATCATTATGGATAGATGGTGCAAGAATAATATTGGTAAAATATTTTCTTTAATTTAAATTGCACAACAATCATTGTCATCCTAACCCAATAATAAGAGGATAATGATTTTTTAAGCTATATAGTTCAAAGTTCAAGGTTTTAGTAAACTTACTCTATAAGTGTTCGTTTCATGGAGTGACCAGAACTGGACAAAAAGTGTCACATGACCGCTTGTTTTATCAAAGAATACTTTATTGCGATGAAACTATCACTTTGTTTAAACAAAGAACAATAAACTTTGAAGTAAGACAAATTCGTTTACATGATAAACTAGAAGCTTAAAGGTCTTTGTGCAAAAATATTTTAGGTTTTCTCCCAAAGACTGTTTTAATCTTTTGTTGTTCATCTTGAATGTATGGGATATTTGTTGCACACAAAAATGCAGCATGAAAAAGATATAAAAATGTTTCAAATATTTCATGCATAATTTCAGCATTCCATTACTTAATATCACATTTTTGAGCATTCAATCTAAATTTATTAACTTGAAAGAATCTAAATTCTGTTTTCGGCAGGGTTCGGTCAGCGGACATGGTTTTCCGCCACTCAGAGATCCAGGAAATAGTTCAGATCCAGGATTTCTGCAGGACAGAGAAACTTCTAGAACAAGTTCAGAAACCGGTTTTCTTCAAACACGACCCCGCCCAGATGTTTTGGACAAAGTTAAAGGGGAAAAGGTAAAATATTTTAAAGACTTTTACAATGCGTATTTAGCTCCATTTTTTTCTTTTGGGGTTTATCTGCAAGTGATTTGCGTATTTCTTTGATATTATCTGTGTTAAAAACTTTTATTAAGAAAAACAATGTTCTCCCCCCTCCCCACTTTTTTATCAGTTAAAGGTTTTTAAAGTTAAAGCTGTAAATCAGGAATCTTTGCATGAAGGCCACTTAAAATTACACTTATTTATGCACAATTTAGTTTATTCTATGTAGGATATATAATAGAATGGATATATCATAGTCAAGGTTTGATGTAATTTTCTGGGTGGGGTGTCATGAAGAACGTTAGACATTAGACCCTGGACTTAAAATTTGTCTTTGATTTTCGTAAGGTTAATTGTTGTCAAAAGAATATATTAATACATTTTAATTTACCTTTTTCTTTGAAATAGTCGGTGATACTAAAGAATTAAACAACCTTAATTGGTTATATTTAATACTTTTAATTTTAGACTAATTTCTCAATATCTCAGTCAATTCTTAAGGTGCAAAAACGGCAGATCACATTTTGGAAATTTCAAAACAAGGCGCGTTGTATGCTACCCAACTTTTGGAAGGCAATGTTATCTTAGATTTTAGCGACAGTATCTTATTTCTTCTTACTCCAGGGCCCACGATCTTCTTTGATTTGGACCCTGAACTTTCATTCAAACTTTTTGAAACAGAACAAATTATTTTTATAGAATTAACGACAGCTAGAGTGAAAATTTGTTAGAGTAGAACTTTAAGTACACTATGCAGAGATTCAAAATATTTCCCAAAAAATCTAGGGTCCACTCAGCTTTAACAGCTGTGAAGCACACCCACAAAATTACATTTACGCTAGCCCAGAATAGATAGATAGAGCGGGCCGTGGTACTATGAATATAATGTTTGCTTTATAGGATAAAGATTTGGAAGATGGGCAGAGGAATGCCCAATACTTGTCAGGATAGATAGAGCGGACCGTGGTACTATGCATATAATGTTTGCTTTATAGGATAAAGATTTGGAAGATGGGCAGAGGAATGCCCAATACTTGTCAGCTAACTGTGTTATTTTCACCTACTACTCGGGAGATATTACCAAAGCAGTGGATGATCACTTTTCTAAAGCTCTTAGTCAACCAACAGATAGAGGTACAGACTTCATATCAATCAATCAATCTCGGAAAGTTGGTCACATTAGTGCTTTCTAAATTAATATGACAAGTCCTTCAAGTACTTTTTGTTAAATAATTCTTTTCTTTCTGGTTAACAGATTTTTTCAAAAACTTTTCTTTTAAAATACTAAATATGACATTTTGCAGAAAATATTCCTTTGTCGGCTCGGAATCTCCCGGCTTCCTTTTGGGATTCTAGCTGGGCAGGAGTGCCCTCCCTCCCTCCATCTGAACTCTACTCTGAGTACACAGATCCTTGGCAATCTTACATGGCAAGCATGACAGGTTAGATTCCAACATATTTATAGATAATTAATTATTGTCTGTTAGTTAAAGGAATAGATAATTAATTATTGTCTGTTTATTAAAGGAATAGATAATTAATTATTGTCTGTTTATTAAAGGAATAGATAACTAATTATAATCTCTTTATTAAAGGAATTGATAACTAATTATAATCTCTTTATTAAAGAAATAGATAATTAATTATTGTCTGTTTATTAAAGGGATAGATAATTAATTATAATCTCTTTATGAAAGGGATAGATAATTCATCATAAACTATTTATTAAAGAAATAGATAACTAATTATAATCTCTTTATTAAAGGGATAGATAACTAATTATAATCTCTTTATTAAAGGGATAGATAACTAATTATAAAATTATAATCTCTTTATTAAAGGGATAGATAACTAATTATACTAATTATAATCTCTTTATTAAAGGGATAGATAAAATCTCTTTATTAAAGGAATAGATAACTAATTATAATCTCTTTATTAAAGAAATAGAGAACTAATTATAATCTCTTTATGAAAGGGATAGATAATTCATCATAATCTATTTATTAAAGAAATAAATAACTGATTATAATCTCTTTATGAAAGGGATAGATAACTAATTATAATCTATTTATTAAAGGGATAGATAACTAATTATAACCTCTTTATTAAAGGGATAGATAATTAATTATAATCTGTTTATTAAAGGAACAATTAACGAATTATTGTCTGTTTATTAAAGAAAAAATTAACTAATTATTGTCTGTTTATTAAAGGAACAATTTACTAATTATTGTCTGTTCATTAAAGGAACAATTAACTAATTATTGTCTGTTTATTAAAGGAACAATTAGCTAATTATTGGCTGTTTATTAAAGGAACAATTAACTAATTATTGTCTGTTTATTAAAGGAACAATTCACTAGTTTTTGTCTGTTTATTAAAGGAACAATTAACTAATTATTGTTTATTAAAGGAACAATTAACTAATTATTGTTTATTAAAGGAACAATTAACTAATTTTTGTCTGTTTATTAAAGGAACAATTAACTAATTATTGTTTATTAAAGGAACAATTAACTAATTATTGTCTGTTTATTAAAGGAATAGAGAACTGATTAAAAACTTATTTCAATCTGTTTATTAAAGGGAAAGCTTTAAATAAGCAGGATTTTAATGTTTTAAATATTTTGCATTTATAATTTCACTTATAATCTAACCTGAGCTGGGAACTTTTGAATGGTGGATATCGGGATTAATGCTTGATCCACTCTTTTTCTTAATCTCCAGATTAAATAATGCTTGCTCTCCTTTTGTTATTAATCTCTAGATTAATTAACAGAACGGGATTAAGGATATCCCATTCTAAAGTTTTCAGCTCTGAGTTCTCAGTTTAGTTTTAAGTCAAAATTTTTTTTGAGTCATGAGTATTAATAAATATGCCAAATATAAACATCTTGTTTTTATCGTCAGTTCCAAAGGAGTTATATATACTTTTTTTCATAAAACGTACTGGGTCGAAATATCAGGTTTGGACCGTACAATTAAATGCATATACGTTACAATTACACTAGACTGAACCGTACCATTCATTGCATGTACGGTACTACTACTACACTAGACCAATCCATGCTATTAAATGCATGTACGGTACTATTACACTAGACCAATCCATTCCGTTAAATGCATGTACAGTACTATTACACTGGACCAATCCATTCCATTAAATGCATTTAGGTACTATTACACTGGACCAATCCATTCTGTTAAATGCATGTACGGTACAATTACACTAGACCAATCCATTCCGTTAAATGCATATACGGTACAACTATACTAGACCGATCTGTACCATTAAATGCGAAAAATGAAAGGGGGTAATGGCTTACGGCGAAAAATAAGCGCTTATGATCGCTACTAATCCTACTTCTATCTGTTGCGTCTATATGGAGAAAATTGTTAAAAACGACTCATACTGAAAAACCTAGCCTCCATACAAATTCGGAAAGTCCAACATTCAACTTTTTAATTCCAAACAAATCATTCAGATATTACAAACAATAGTCATTGATTATTTTTAGACGAATTCGTATACAGTAAATATTTCATAATATTTATTATTTTTTTAAAATAACATTCCGCTGGCGCTGGATTTTCGAACATTCCTGGAAAATATGAAAATGTCGTCTTCATTATCAAAAATCCTTGAAACAGGAATAAATGTTTTCAAAGTCTGATCAAGAAAAAATAAAAAAAAAATATTATGAAATATCAACCATTTACGAATGCGTCGAAAAATAATCGATGAGTATTGGTTGTAATATCTGAATGATTTGTTTGGGCTTAAATTGATTTGTTCACGATCGGAGTTGAATGTTGCAAATTTCTGAATTTGCATGGATGATACGTTCTTCAGCATGAGTTGTTTTTACCAATTTTCCCCTTATTGACGCAACCGATAGAAGCAAGATTTGTAGCAATCAAAAGCGCTTATTTTTCGCTGTAAGCCTATATATACCCGCTTTAAGTTTTCGCGAACATTCCCTTTAATGTAATCTTTTTGTTAAGGTTACTCTGCTCACCAGATGTACACTGCTAGATCCTACTCCTCCCTCCTCTTACAGTCTAGGAGAGAGTGGGTAGAGCAGAACTATCCATCCTCACCATACCCAACCATGTCAGGTAGTCAATCAATCGATCAACTAAGCAATAATTTAATCAGCTTATCAATCAATTAATCAATCAATAAATTAATTAATGAATCAATGAAGTAATGAAGCAATCAATCATTAAATCATCTAGTCAATTACTGATTAATCAAGTAATCAATCTAGTAATCAATGAATACATGCATAAATCAATCAATAAATCAATCAGCCAATTAATTAAGTCAATTATTCAATCAGCCAATCTATTAATAATCCAATCCATAAATTAATCAGTCAATCATCCGATCAATAAATTAACCAAATAATAAATAAAACAATCATTTGATGAAATAACAAATCTATCTATCTATCTATCTAGGTCTGGAAGGAAGCATGCAGCCTGCCTCGAAGGACCTCTACTGGTTTTAAAGAGAAGAAAAATGGAAAACCTAAAAACAAAAATAAATTTATCTGTGAACAAGTGATAAAGAAAAACTCAAGAAGGAAAACGATGTTTTCCTAAAACTCCGGAAGAAAAAGAACAATTGTTTGAAAAAACAGTTAAATGTGATTAAACAGGGGGCAGAGCACCAATTACACATCATAGTCTGCCCTGGTGCCCTCATAAAACCTGTTTTAAAAAGTTCCTACTCTTCAAGTGCCCCACCCCCCTCCCGACCCTGGAACCACCCTACCCCCTCCCTGTTTACAAGGGTCCATTAACTGGTGATTTTTTGTAGTCCATTTAGTTGAAATTAAAATTTTCTTAGATTCTCGATTGAAACAAAGCAAAATGTAGAGAATGTGGGAGATTTTCAAGGAAAAATGTCAAAAATATGCTAGTATTTAACTTTTTAAACAAACGTGTAAAAGTCTTCAAAGTAAAAAATTCATAATAAAATTTTCTTCTTGGGTCCTGAAGGCCAGTTTTTTTTATCCCTCCTATAAGAATTTAAACAAACGTCTTTATTACAGGGGAAATTAGTTCCATAAACTAACATTTGGCCCATTTCTAACACTCAGTGTTAGTTTTGGAACCAATTTCCCCTGTATCAGAAAAACTGATTAGTCAATATTTTTTACAGGATACGCGATCTATTAATGATCGCGAGTCCCTGACTCTTTACAAAAAAATTAATAGAATGATTAAAGAAAAGAAACGATATAGTTCTATAATTTTCTGAAGTTGTATATCCTTCATTGAAATAATTAAATATTAAGGTTTTTCCCAAGCTTGTTAAGACGTTTACTCGTAACCTTAGATGAAAAAACACTTGTGATGGGGAATAAAAATATTGTTTTAATTATAAATATGTTTTATATAAGTGTAATGTCAGTTAATAATGTTATATATGGATTAGAGAAAATAAATAATTAGAAATTTGATATAAATCATTAGTCTTAGATATTATGAGCATTTCAATTGGTTTTGCTGTCATTTCAAGAAAAAAGTTAGATTTTAAAATTTCAATTTTCTAAGTCGTCTAAATCGTCTTTGCCTCAAACTCAAATTTTCTAATCTCGATGTCTTTACATCCTGAGGGTGTAAACAATTGAGATTTCAAACTATTTTTTAAACAGAATTTTTAGATTTCTACGATATCTGGATTCAATTTAATTTTATAATGTTTCAAATAATTATCTGTCTTTAAACTGTATTTTGAGTTCTTTTAATATTTTCCGCTAAAGTAGACCTAACTACAACCAAAGTTTCCAGCGAACAAAAATTTTCAAAAAATGCGAAAAATGTGAAAATAATCGTACGCATTTCGCAAACTTTTTCGCGAAGTATTGTAGATGCAACAATTAATTTTGCAAAATGGAATTTTCTGCCTTTTACCCACATTTCTTTTTCGCAAAAATTTCGCATATTTTCGCGATAATGATTAGGCAAAATTGAACGAAAAAGTGAAAAATTTCGCATTTTTCTCGAGCTAATTAAGTGCGAAAAAATGCAATATTTTTCGATAAAATTTTTTTTTACATACAATTAACACTTTTCGCTGAAAACCCTAACTGCAACGAAACACATCCTAGCTGTATCGGAATATTTTCATTCATCTCTCAACCAAAATCCGTCAACATAAAGTTGAAGAATTACAATACTTAAATATCTAAATTCGGAGCCCAACAAAAAAATACAAAGTAACATGTGCAAAAAAGATAAATTTAATAGGTAAAACTAGGTTCTTTAGTGCTTTTTAAACAGGAACTCTGATTTACTGTGTGCCCTCCCATCTCTATGTTTTAATAATCAAATTCGTTTTTTATATGTAGTAGTTTCATTCTCTACTTTACAAACGTTTTATTATCTATTTTACAGCCGTTTTATTATCTAATAATATATCGTTTTATTCTTAATTTTCGCTACTTTACTGTACTTAATTTTCTCTGTTTTATTCTCTGTTATGCATTCGTTTTATTCTTTATCTTTAAGATTCGCTACTTTACAGACAAAAATTCTCTGTTTTACTAAAACTTTAATCTTTATTTTACGGGCATTTTTTATTTTATTTTGATCACATATACGTTTCATTTTCTTTTGTGTTAACGTTTTACTCTCTAGTCTCTAGTTTATAAAAGTATATTTTTTTAATGCTCAATGCATGCTCAAATATCTCTTTTAAATTATAAATTATAAATTAAAATATCCCTTTTAAATTAGAAAATGAGAAAAGAATCTGTGTTTTTGCCTCAAACTCAAATATTCTAAACCCTATATTTGGACACCTGATGGTGAAAACCTTTAATATTACAAACTTAAGCTATTTTATCTAACAGAACTCATTGATTGAAATATCAAAGATCGACAACATTTGCAAAAATATATGGAAAAAGAAATCAGAGTTTGTGTTAGTTCCCTAACTTAAACTTAAAACAAAAAAATGAAAGATCAACCCTAAAGACAATAATATCAATGTTAGATTACCGTGAGATAAACTCTGCTCATGAAAGTATTTATGTTGGATTACCGCGAGTATAAACTTATGAAAGTATCAATGTTAGATTACCGTGAGATAAAATCTGCTCATGAAAGTATCAATGTTAGATTACCGTGAAATATACTATAGTGTTGAGAGTATCAATGTTAGATTACCGTGAGATAAACTAAAGTGATGAAAGAATGATTGTTAGATTACCGTGAGATAAACTATAGTGATGAAAGTATCAATGTTAGATTACCGTGAGATAAACTATAGTGATGAAAGAATGATTGTTAGATTACCGTGAGATGAACTGTAGTGATGAAAGTATCAATGTTAGATTACCGTGAGATGATCTCTAGTGATGAAAGTATCAATGTTGGATTATCGTGAGATGCACTCTAGTGATGAAAGTATCCATGTTAGATTACCGTGAGATGAACTATAGTGATGAAAGTATCAATTTTAGATTACCGTGAGATGATCTCTAGTGATGAAAGTATCAATGTTAGATTACCGTGAGATAAACTATAGTGATGAAAGTATTTATGTTAGATTACCGTGAGATAAACTATAGTGATGAAAGTATCAATGTTGGATTACCGTGAGGTGAACTATATAGTGATGAAAGTATCAATGTTAGATTACCGTGAGATAAACTATAGTGATGAAAGTATCCATGTTAGATTACCGTGAGATGTACTCTAGTGATGAAAGTATCAATGTTAGATTACCGTGAGATAAACTATAGTGATGAAAGTATCAATGTTAGATTACCGTGAGATGTACTCTAGTGATGAAAGTATCAATGTTAGATTACCGTGAGATAAACTATAGTGATGAGAGTATTTATGTTAGATTACCGTGAGATAAACTAAAGTGATGAGAGTATCAATGTTGGATTACCGTGAGATAAACTATAGTGATGAAAGTATCAATGTTGGATTACCATGAGATGTACTCTAGTGATGAAAGTATCAATGTTGGATTATCGTGAGATGTACTCTAGTGATGAAAGTATCAATGTTAGATTACCGTGAGATGTACTCTAGTTATGAAAGTATCAATGTTGGATTATCGTGAGATGTACTCTAGTGATGAAAGTTTGGCTACGCTCAGTTTAACACGACCGAAGGTTTAAATAAATACTTTATTGACTAACTTATTGAAAATCTAAATTTAAGAAATCGAAAATATATCAGGGTGACGTGGCAGAATCAGAGCTCATCTTGCCGCGTCTGAGTATCCGGCTTCTAACTCCTCAGATTGTCTTCCGCCACAGTACTCCCCCCAAGAAGGCAAGGCGGAGTCAAGGCGGAGCTAAGACTTCTTTCCTGACTTGTCTGTGAGGGTTTCTTCTTGGTATGATTATAGGTTGGTTTAAAAACATCACAGATTTCTTCTTTGAGGCGGACGACTTCGTGGCGGAGGAAAGGTCAGGAGGATCCTTTGACTGGCGAAGAGGAGGACGACCTCGAGGCGGAGGAGTTACAGAAACTGAGTCTATTTTGGTACCAATCTGGAGGCGGAAGAATTTACTCCGCCGTTCTATAACTTGGTAAGGACCACGGTACAGAGGACTGAGTGAGGGTTTGCTGGCATCTTCTCGAACAAACACAAACTTGGCTGCTTTCAGAGCTGCAGGAATCTCAACTGAAGGCGAATGTTGCACATGATGAGGCGGAGGGGTTGAAAAACCGGCAATTACTTTCTCCACTTTGCTGAAGAATATAGAATATAGAAATATAAATGGAGTCCCAATGAGGGATTGCAGCGAACGAAACGTTTTGCGAAATTTCGCATTTCTTTCGCGAAAATGAATGAAGCGAAAAAAATGCGAAAGAGATGGGATATTTCGCGAAAATTTCATTAAAAAATAGTATTACAAGTACAAGTTATAAAGACCGGACTGTCTGATGGTTATAAGGACTTGACTGTCCGGAGTCCGGACTGCATAAGGACCGGACTGTATAAGGACCAGCCTGTATAAGGACCAGACTGTATAAGGACCAGACTGTATAAGGACTGGACTGTATAAGGACAGGACTGTTTAAGAACCGGACTGTTTAAGGACTGGACTGTATATGGACCGGACTACATAAGGACCGGACTGTATAAGGACCGGAATGTTTTGGACTGGACTGTATAAGGACCGGATTGATAAGAACCAGACTGTATAAGGACCGAACTTTGTAAGGACCGGTCTTATAAGGTCCGGACTGTACACAGACTGGACTGAATAAGGACTGGACTGTATACAGACTTGACTGAATAAGTACTGGACTGTCTAAGGACCGGACTGTATAAGGACCGGACTGTATATTGACTGGACTGTATAAGAACCGGACTGCACAAGCACCGGACTGTATAAGGACCGGACTGTATAAGGTTCTGACTGCATAAGAACCAGACTGTATAAGGACAGGACTGTATAAGGATCGGACTGTATAAGGACCGGACTGTGTAAAGACCGGGCTGTATAAGGACCGGAATGTATAAGGAACGGACTGTAAAATGACTGGACTGAATAAGGACCGGACTGTAAAAGGACCGGACTGTATAAGGACCAGACTGTATATGGACCGGACTGTATATGGACCAGACTGTATATGGACCGAACTGTATAAAGACCGGACTGTATAAGGACGAGAATGTATAAGGAACGGACTGTAAAATGACTGGACTGAATAAGGACCGGACTGTATAAGGACCGGACTGT